ATATATATATATATATGATCTTAGCTGGATGTGGTGATGAATGCTTGGAATTTCAAACTCTGGAGGTAGAGGCAGGAAGATTGAAAATTTGAGGCTAGCCTGGACTATGTAGTAAAACTGTCTGAAAGGGAAAGAACAACACAAAGATAACAACTAATAAATACTTGTTGGGTTAATCTTTCTTATCTTTATTCATTGCCCTTTGGCTATGGCTTCTGAAATCTTTAGTTTTAATAGTCTATGTGTAATAGTAAGTCTGTAAACAAGTATTATGTTTGAATATATTTGGGGAACCTGTTATTAGATAACTTACTCTGTATTCACTTAATGTATTTTGTAAGCTTAAAAATCATCCTGTCTGAAGCTAGGTGCCGGTGGCTCATGCCTGTAATACAAGCTACTCAGGAGACTGAGATCTGAGGATCGTGGTTCAAAGCCAGCCCAGGTAGGAAAGTCCATGTGACTCTTATTTCCAATAAACCACTAGAAAACCAGATGTGGCGCTGTGGCTCAAGCGGTAGAGCGCTTGCCTTGAACTGAAGAGCTGAGGGACAGTGCCCCAGCCCAGAGTTCAAGCCCCACAACCAACTCCCTCTCCCCCCCAAAAAATCATCCTGTCTGGGGCTGGAGCTGGGGATGTGACTTTAGTGGTAGAGTGCTTGCCTAGCATGCACAAAGCCCTGGGTTCGATTCCTCAGCACCATATAAACAGAAAACACCAGAATTGGCACTGTGAGTCAAGTGGTAGAGTTCTAACCTTGAGCAAAAAGAAGCTCAGGGACAGTGCTCAGGTCCTGATTTCAAGCTCCAGGACTGACAAAAAAAAATCATCCTGGCTACATATAGTGATACATGTTTATAATCCCAGCCCTAAAAAGGCTAAGGCCGGAGGACTGTGAGTTCAAGGCCAGCCTGAGTTAGAGTGAGTCCCTGTCTGAAAAAAAGAAATCATCCTGCAATATTTCAAAGCTATAAATTGGACTCTTGTTCAATGTTTGCCCTGAAATGGTGTAACTTGTTGTTCCAAACTTACTTAACTGGAGTGATTAAAAGCCAAGAAAAGTGTCCAACAGCATAATACTAATCTTCTCTGAAACGCTGGCAGCTTTCCATCATAGATGAGGAGGCGTTTCCTGACCAATGGGAGAAAGGGGAAATGAAAGCAGAACAAGGAAGCTTACGCCTGCTTGTTTACACTGTGCTTTTTCTATGTTTTGAAGTCACCCTCTCTTTAGCTTCATATACCCTGAAAATCAGCTACTTTAAGTTTTTCTGAGGAAGTATGTTACTTAATCTTCCCCCCTTCCCACTGTGCCACTTCTGGTTTTTCTGGTGGTGAGCTGGAGATCAGAGTCTCACGGATTTTCTTGCCCAGGCTGGCTTTGAACTGTTTTGGTGACTATAAAGACATGTCTATATTTGTGGTGCTTTCCTCTGGAAATATTTGCAAAATAATGTCAGCCTCTGGAAATTATCATAGACTTTTCTTTTCTAGAAAGCATATTGGAATGGACATATATGAACATAATATTATTACAGGGATAACCTAGTTAAATTTTTTTTTGGTCTGGTCATGGGGCCTGAACTCTGGGCCTGGGCGCTGTACCCCAGCTCTTGAGCTCAAGGCTAGTGTTCTACCTCTTGAGCCACAGCGCCACTTCTGGCTTTTTTCTTTTTGCTTATGTGATGCTGAGGAATCGAACCCAGGGCCTCAGGCATGCAAGGCAAGCGCTCTACCACTGAGCTACCTTCCCAGCCCCCCTAGTTAATTTTTAAATAATCATTTGCAGTTTTGTGTACTTTAAATATTGTGACATTCCTTACAGTGATTGTATCATATCAAGTGTGTCATAAATATTGTCAGTCACTTGGGGCAGAGCTCTTATCTGAGCTAAAATATTTCTGAAATGTACATTGTTGGGATTATTTTTTGTCATTTACCTTCCATTTCACCTTAAAATAATGAGATCCTGATTTTATTCTTTTTCTCTTTTTCTGCTTATGTGGTGCTGAGGAATCGAACTTAGGGTATCATGCATGCAAGGCAAGCGCTCTACCACTGAGCCACCTTCCCAGCCCTAATATCCTGATTTTAAAGTGGACATAAACACATACTGAGCTTAAAATGAGTCAGTCTAGCCGGGAACAAGTAGCTCACCTGTAATCCCAGCAGATAGGAAGGCAGAGGAGGCAAAGACAAGGAAGATTACAGTTTGAGGCAGCACAGAGGAAAAGTTAGCCAGGCATAGTGGCATGTGCCTGTAATTTCAGCTACATGGGAAGCATAGGAGGATCAGGGTCCAATGCCACACCCAGGAGTAAAGGAAAACTTTGTCTCTGTTTAGAACTGATGCAGGAAAAAAAAAACAAAAACCAAGCTTCAGGTTAGAGGCGTGGCCCAGTTGGTACAGTGCTAGCCAATGAGCAAAAGCCACCAGATACTGAGTTTGAGTTCCAGGCTCAGACTAAGAAAAAGAGAAAGAGAATAGGACTGATACCGAATTCTTCTGTTGTAGTAGATAGAGCCCACACAGACTTTGTGGTGTCAGAGCCCTCTAGTTCTGTTGACTGGTACCCAACAGACAGTGCCTAATAGAGTTATAGTTCAATAGCAGGTGTCTTGCTTAAAGGCCATTGCTGCTCTTTAGGTATGCTCTCTGTGCATACTCCCAGGTGACTGAGTCTAAGGGTTTTTATACCCTAGGCTGCCCTCTGATTGGTTGTCCCTATTATAATTAGATGTGTTCAAAGGTAATTTTTATTGGTTGGGTCCTGCAACATTCTGATGGTTAGTTCCTAATAGGTTCCCTGCTGAGAGTCATGGGAAGGTTAGCCAAACTAGAAGGGAATAGAGGCATGATGTTTTGAAACAGTGACTCCTTTCTATCTAGTTTCTACTTGGTAGCTCAAGATGTTATCCAAGGACCCTAGGTCCCAACTAATCTCCCCTCTCAGCCCCTTTTCAGCATCCCAAATAAAAACTCTGCACCCATTATACAATAAGCCCCTAATTCCATCACTGTCGACCACTGGTATCCTCTGTTTTGCTACTTGTCCTACGAATTTGACTATATTAATTGCCTGCTGTTAAGTGGAAATACAGTATTTGTTTCTGACTTGTTTCACTTACTACATTTTCAAGATCTAGCCATGTGGGGCTGGGAAAGTGGCTCAGTGGTAGAGCGCTTGCCTTGTATGCCTGAGGGCCTGGGTTCAATTCCTCAGCACCACATAAGCAAAAAAGGAAAAAGCCGGCAGTGGCGCTGTGGCTCAAGTGGTAGAGCCCTAGCCTTGAGCTGAAGAGCTGAGGGACAGCGCCCAGGCCCAGAGTTCAGGCCCCACGACTGGACCCAAAAAGAAACAAAACAAAATCAAGATCTAGCCACATGATAGGATCCACCACAACCTCTTTTCTTTTTGTGGCTGAATATATTTTGTGGCTGAATATTTGTAAACAGAATATGACATTTGTTTATGAGTTCATCTGTTGATGGACCCTTGGGTTGTTTTTACCTTTTTGGTTATTATGACTAATATTGATAATTGCTGGATTATATGATAGTTCTATGTTTAACTTCCCATAGCAGCCACAGCATACTACATTCCCAGTGACAATGTTCAGGAGTTTATGTTCTATTCTTTTTTTTTTGGGGATCCGGTCATGGGGCTTGAACTCTGGGCCTGGGTGCTGTCCCTCAGCTCTTCAGCTCAAGGCTAGCGCTCTACCACTTGAGCCACAGTGCTACTTCCGGCTTTTTTCTTTTTTGCTTATGTGGTGCTGAGGAATTGAACCCAGGGCCTCAGGCATGCGAGGCAATCGCTCAACCACTGAGCCACCTTCCCAGCCCAAGGCTGACACTTTCTATCATTAGAGCCATACCACTTCTGGCTTTTTTGATGGTTAATTGGAGGTAAAAGTCTCATGGACTTTCTTGCTGGCTTTACTCCAACCTCCAATCTCAATACTCTGCCTTCTGAGTAGCGAGGATTACAGGTGTGAGTCACTAGAGCATGGGTGCATTAGTTATTTTTTAAATAGGTCTCACATTTATGCTCAGGCTGACATGGACCCTGATTCTCTCATTTATCTTCCCATGTAGCTGGGATGGGAGACAGGCACCACCACACCCAGCTTTTTCATTTGTTGAAATGAGGTCTCCTGAATTTTTTTTGGAGTAGCCTCCTAAATAGGAATATAGCTCTGAGTTACTGTGTCCAGCTTCTTTTTTAAAAAAACAAAAAAAACTCCTTAATGTTTATAAAATTCCAACCCATTGTGGTTTTAGTGATATTTCTCTAATGGCTAGTGATCATGTCTGAAGACTCAGATACATGTGTTTTATGTATTTATTGGCTTTTTGTATCTCTTTTTATTAATATTATTATTTTGTCAGTCCTGGGGCTTGAACTCAAGGCCTGGGCGCTGTCCCTGAGCCACTTTGTGCTCTATCACTGGAGCCATAGTGCCACTTTTAGTGGTTTCTGAATAGTTCATATGAGATAAGAGTCTCATGACCCTTCCTGCCCTGGCTGGCTTCAAACTGTGATTCTCAGATCTCAGCCTCCTGAATAGCTAAGATTACAGGCATGAGCCACTGGCACTGGCTTGTATTTCTTTTTTAATGCCTAATACTTGTTTGTTCACTTGTTTGTTTGGAGACAAAGTCTATATACCCCAGGATGGCTTTGAATGAGGCTTGCAGTGGGGACCCTGCACGCCTGCTGAGCTTTTTGCCTTACAGCTGACACTTGAGCCATACTTGCAGTCCAGCTTTTTTTCCTGGCTTATTGGAGATAGTCTCTCAGACCATTCTACTCAGGTTGACTTTGAACAGCAGCCCTCAGACCTCAGCCTCCTGAGTAGCTTAGGATGATAGGCCTGAGCCACCCATGCTCAGCAAGGGAACATTTTTCACTCATCTTTTTGTCTTTAGCACCTAACATAGTACCCAATACACAATGAATGTGTACTGAATGCTATTTATTAAATTATAGACAAGAGATAAATACTTTATTTTAAAAAAATCAAAGAAGAAAAAGAAAATACATTTTTATATTTTGGAAACTTGTACCAAATATTTATGAATAGATTTGTGAATTGGAATGAAAAAACTCAGAAATATCTCCCTTGAGGATTTAGAAGGGGACTTGGAAGTAGAGAAGTCAGGTCACTTCAGTCCTCTGGGGTGGTTAAAGCTAAATAATCCCAATGAATGAATCTATCCACATAGCAACAGTCCCAGAACAAAGTCAGTCTGTGGTCATATCTCTGAGCCTAAAAGGATACATCTCTTAGGGAAATTCCTGCTATGGCCACAAAGAAAAAGGGTGGAAAGAACAGAAGGTTGTATAGGTGTCACTTGAAGCACCAATAATTAGAGAATTAAAAAGTCTCAGTATCACCACATCTACTTCAAGAATAACACAACTCCCTTCCAAAGTACATCAACAGATTGTACCATCATAGAAGGAATAGAAGAGCAGGATGGGGTTGGCTGCTTGCGGTCACATCTTGGGGAAGCTGGCCAAGTTTGCAATGCCACAGGCGTTGTTCTTATTCCGAGCCATGAGAATGTAGCCTTTGTTTCCCCAGTTTTCTCCCCAGCTGTAAGAGCAACCAATACAAATACTTAGTATCCTTGGTTTTAAGTAGTCTTTGAAACATTTTCTGTATTGTACTAAGGCAGATTGCATACAAAAATGAGCAAGACAGTTTTACCTTTAAAGAATTAAGTCAAGAAGTAGACAGAAGGGCTAGGAATGTGGCTTAGTTGTAGAGTGCTTGCCTAGTACGCATGAAGCTCTGGGTTTGATTCCTTAGTACCACATACACAGAAAAAGCTGGAATAGTGCTGTGGCTCAAGTGGTAGAGCACAGGCCTCAAGCAAAAGAAGCTCAGCGACAGTGCCCAGGCCCTGAGTTCAGGCCCCAGGACTGGATAAAAAAAAAAACAAGTGGACAGAAATCATACTTCTATAGGTCTCCAAGGTAGAAGAAATTGATTCTGATCAAGAGGAAGAGGACTTGATGTCAGAGGGGACATTTGAGGCTGAACCCAAAGTGGAATGGTGTGAAATCAATAATCGAGATAGGAAAGTAAGATATGGTATGATCATGTGGCTGAAAAAATAGATTGCCTAACACAGTAAAGCAGCATATAACATATGGAAAGGTAGACTGAGATCAGGTTGAATTATTACTGCTGATCTAGAGTTTTTAGTTTTACTGAACGGAGGCTGAAGTCAGTGATCTTGATTTGAGAGTAAGTTCTGTTGGCAAGATGGATGATGCTATGAGAGTAGATGGAAATAAACAGATTCTTAGTGCTACTTTTAGTTTTCGTTGTGTTACTTCAGTCACAGTTAAATCTATCTCAATGGGCAAACATTTGCTTACTTGTTTCGTATGTCTCTAAGCATCTTGCCCACAGGGCAGCTGACTAACACATACTTTGAATGCTATTTATTGTATTACCATCATATGTTAGCATCTCTACACTGACAAGCCTGAGAGAATGTCCTATGATTTGGAAAAAAGAAAGGAATACTGGGAAGCTGGAGGTGAAGTTGAATGTTATAAGGGTAAGTGAATAAGAAATAGTATTGTTGTCATTACCTGTTCTTAATTATCCAGTGCTTGTTTCCTTTCTGGGTCCCATATCCTACTGCCAACAATGCATGGTTCAGATTATCGCTATTGCAGTTTTCATCATAATATACACCTAGGAAACAAAATATTAAGACGAAGTTTTAGCTGGGTACTGGTGGCTCACTTCTGTTATCCTAGCTACTCAGGAGGCTGAGATCTCAGGAGCACAGTTGGAATCCAGACCAGATAGTAAACTCCCTGAGATTCTTATCTCCAAATAATCATACACACCAAAATATTAAAAGCTCAAGTGCGTGGAAGTGGTATTCTTGAGTGGCAGGGATCCCAGGCCCTAAGTTTAAGCCCAGGATTGGTACACACCAAATGACAGTCCAAGAGTCAGTGTATGGGATCTCCAGTACAGAAGGCTGTAGGATTTTCCATCAACCAGGAGGGTTAAAACATCAGAGTTGCCTCACACTGTGGCAGTTTCCAATTTCTCTCCAGTAGACTGAGTATAAATATAAGAACTAAGTACTAAAAATGCTCAGGGCTCCCAACTTCTTTTTTTTTAAGAGCTATCTCTGGAAGATAGTTCCTTACCTTTGCTGTAAAACTGGAAAGAGGTCAAGCTTGCATCAATGGCCACAGAGACCGGGCCCACTCGAGCCACTGCTCTCTTTAGGGCTTTCTCATTCCCTATGGGAATCTCCCTGAATCCTCTGCATTTAGCTGCTTTGCCTGTTGGGTTGTACATACAACTTTCATCCTGAAAATAACAAGGTTGCAATAAGATCGGCACAAAGCAATAGGCAATGAACAAGAAACTCACTCGTATTTTGAGTAAATGTTAGTGATCTGACATTTTAACTTAATTAGTCTCTACAGAGGGACTGTACCTCCTATTTAATTTAATTAATTAATTTTTTTCTTTTGGTCGTGGGGCTTGAACTCTGGGCCTGGACATTGTCCCTCAGCTCTTAAGCTCAAGGCTAGTGCTCTACCACTTTGAGCCACAGCGCCACTTCCGGTTTTCTGGTGGTTTATTGGAGATAAGAGTCGCACAGACTTTCCTATCCTGACTAGCTTTGAACTCTGATCCTCAGATCTCAGCTCCTGAGTTGCTAGGATTACAGGTGTGAGCCACTGGCATCCAGCTATCCGTCCATCATTTTAGAAAACAACAAAATAAGGCTGGGAATGTGACTTAATGGTAGAGTGCTTGCCTAGCATGCATGAAGCCCTGGGTTTGATTCCTCAGTACCACATAAACAGAAAAAGCTGGTAGTGGTACTGTGGCTCAAGTGATAGTGTTAGCCTTGAGCAAAAGAAGCTCAGGGACAGTGCCAAGGTCTTGAGTTCAAGTCCCAGGACTGGTAAAAAAAATGTGAAAAGCAAACTCTTACTTTCAACCTCACATGCAAAAATAACTCCAGATGATTTAAAGATATAGAAGAGCCAGGTGCCAGTGGCTCACGCCTGTAATCCTAGCTACTCAGGAGGCTGAGATCTGAGGATCACAGTTTAAAGCCAGCCCAGGCAGGAAAGTCTGAGAGACTAATATCTCCAATAAACCACTAGAAAACTGGAAGTGGCACTGTGGCTCAAGCAATAGAGCGCTCGCCTTTAGCTGAAGAGTGCAGGGACAGCACCCAAGCCCAGAGTTCAAGCCACACAACTGACCAAAAAGAAAAAAAAAAAAAAAGACTAGAAGAGCTGGTGCTAGGAGGCTATGGTCTGAGGATTGAGGTTTGAGGCCAGCCACAGCTGAAAAGTCCATAAGACTCTTCTCTCCAATACACTTCTCAGAAAAAGCCAGAAGTAGCACTGTGGCTCAAGTGGTAGAGTGCTAGCCTTGAGCCCAAAGAGGCTCAGGGATGGGGCTGGGAAG